GGAAGTGACGTGCTTATCACAAGACCCCATCTTAGTACCGTCCTTGCAAGGATACTGACCAAATATTTTGTCCCCGTCTGTTTAACCCGTCTGATTCGGGGCATCCGACACCAAGTCCACTTTACTCGTTAAATGGCCTCTCATCCTCTGTATGGTCTGCTTCGAGCACATTCCCGGGCACGTTTACGACTGCAGGTTACGCGTACGACGAACTCAACAATCATAACTGCACCATTCGGTATCATAGATTTTGGCACGAGTGTTGAACGGAGTCACATGTTTGAACGCATCTCGCGCATGCACTCCATAATGATGCGACGCAACCATCCGCCAAAGATTCTCGCCATCAACTGCCGCAACAAGTCAAGGGTGTGCCCATGACAGCTGAGAAAGCGTTCGAAGTGCCCAGCAAGATAACACAGATGGCTACGGCAACACGAACAATAAGAAGAAGACGAATCGGACACAGTCACGACGTAATAGCCAACCGAACCAGAACAGACGTGGCACAAAAGCCCACGGAGACAACCAAGAGTTGGTCCGGAGGGACTAAATAGGGACACGAGTAAACCGAAGGGAAACGATTCGCGGGCACTGGATGGAAGACAGGCCCAAAGATGGCACGATCGATAGATCGGAGGTGAAGGCAATGTTCAACCCGCACGTAGTCCCTGTCTGTATTCGCCCGACATATGTTCGCTAAACACCGCAAATCACCGCCCGGCAAACTTGAGGGAAATCGGGACAGCGCAGTGGAAACCCCGCATTAAGCAGCTGTCAACGAGAGGGGGCAAGCAGCTGTCAACGAGAGGGCAGCGGTCCCTCCAGTCGAAATCCTCAGCTTTGTTCGTGGGACACGTGGGACTCTTCGAGTGGCCACACGCACGGCCAAGAACGCTGTGTGAGCTGGTAGGCAGCGACAGGCACGAAGTTGGCACAAGGCCAGAAGGGCGTGGCACCGTACGTCTGGAATCCGAAAGCTGCTAATAAACTCGGTTTCGGTTTTGGTGTTTTTTTTTAACATTCAGATTCCCCCCCGCCGCGTTGCATCTGTGTTCAATCATTCCCGTTCCAAATTCATGTTCAGGCTGTGGCCTCCTTGATCTGGATAGCTCAACGGTCCTTGCGGCCTTCAATGTTCGCCTCCATGGCCTGCAGGTCCCGTCCCGCCACCCAGCATCCTTCCTTCATTTCCGCATCACTGCCGTTCTTCCCCTTATCCGCCAAGGACGTCGTCGTCCCCTTCGGCCGTAGTTTTGCACCAAAGCATCCGTATCCGATCTCCTCCTGAGTTTGTGCGTTAAGTCGATTGGGGGCACTCAACGTGCCTCATTCCGTTTCCTTACATACAGCTGACGATCAGCGTTCTTGTCGTCTCTGTCTGGTACCTTCTGGCTGACGAAGTCACAGAACAACTTGGAATAGATGTTTCGCGATCCTAGACGTTCCCGGACCGCACTGAACCAGTCAATGACTGTTACTACACGTGTCCGGAAAGCGTATTGTGCCGGGCCGAAAATTGGTAAAGGGGAAAGCGCCGGCAGCAAAGGGGATCACGGCTGGGAAGGGCCGTCGCTGATGCCATTCCCGTGGTGCACGGTTACTGGGAGAACGAAGCGGTGGCCCAGGTGCCGTCAACGTGCGCTCTCATCAGCTATGTGTCAGTCGTCTGCCGACGTGCATCTGTCTACGTACACATAGACCGGCGAACTGCCCCCCACTCCATTCACATGATTACTGTTACGGACTCGAACCTGGGACCTTTGGATCCGAACAT